GCATGTGGTCAGAGATGCCTATATAACATATGTCTCAATACACACGTCAATCCCAAAGGATATAACAAGATGTATGTCCCTTTTCATGCGTGGGTCCACCCACTGCGTAAGGTTAAAACCAGCAATCATATTTAGAAAGTCAGGGACCAAAGGTGCGGAGTCAATGTCAATGTCAACTTTATATATCAATCAATCAATTTTATTTATAGAGCCCTTTACAATACTCAAGGCGACCAAAATTACATAAAATCAATTTAAAACATTTATGCACTAAAACAATAAAACTGTTTTTTTAAACATTTAAAAAAGCATTTAAAAAGTGTCACCTGCTATTGAGTGATAAAACTGTTAAAAGCCAGTCTGAATAAATATGTTTTGAGCCTTGATTTAAAAAGACCAAAATCAGTAAGAACAGGCATATCAGGGGGCAGCTTGTTCCAGAGTCTGGGTCCAGGACTGAGAAGGACCGGTCTCCAGTGTTTGGACCTAGTCCTAGGTACTTCCAGGAGGAGTTGAGATGAGGACCTCAATGATCTGCCTGAGTCACAAACAGACACGAACAGTTCGGACAAGTACGGCGGGGCAAGACCATTGAGGGCTTTAAAAACAAAGAGTAACATTTTAAAATCAACTCGAAATGAAACTGGAGCCACTGCAGGAGTAAAGGACTGGGGTGATGTGTTCACGTCTGGGCCTGTTTGTTGTACTGTACCTGTGTGCAGTGTCTGTACCTGTGTGCAGTGTCTGTACCTGTGTGCAGTGTCTGTACCTGTGTGCAGTGTCTGTACCTGTGTGCAGCAGTGTCTGTACCTGTGTGCAGTGTCTGTACCTGTGTGCAGTGTCTGTACCTGTGTGCAGTGACTGTACCTGTGTGCAGTGTCTGTACCTGTGTGCAGTGTCTGTACCTGTGTGCAGTGTCTGTACCGGTGTGTAGTGACTGTACCTGTGTGCAGTGTCTGTACCTGTGTGCAGTGTCTGTACCTGTGTGCAGTGTCTGTACCTGTGTGCAGTGTCTGTACCTGTGTGCAGTGTCTGTACCTGTGTGCAGTGTCTGTACCTGTGTGCAGTGTCTGTACCTGTGTGCAGTGTGCTGTACCTGTGTGCAGTGTCCTGTACCCTGTGTGCAGTGTCTGTACCTGTGTGCAGTGTCTGTACCTGTGTGCAGTGTCTGTACCTGTGTGCAGTGTCTGTACCTGTGTGCAGTGTCTGTACCTGTGTGCAGTGTCTGTACCTGTACCTGTGTGCAGTGACTGTACCTGTACCTGTGTGCAGTGTCTGTACCTGTACCTGTGTGCAGTGACTGTACGTCAGCTGCAGTTGTGGCTAAAACCATGAGCTGTTGTTTTTACAGAGAAAATAAATTAGTTTTAACATTTTGATCAGAAAAAGTTCCACCATGAAGACAAGTTTTTTTGAATAGCACAGTTCATACACAAGGGAAGCAGGAGTCCAGTCCCTGTGCTCCTCAGAGTCCCAGCAGGAGGCCAGTCCCTGTGCTCCTCAGAGTCCCAGCAGGAGTCCAGTCCCTGTGCTCCTCAGAGTCCCAGCAGGAGTCCAGTCCCTGTGCTCCTCAGAGTCCCAGCAGGAGTCCAGTCCCTGTGCTCCTCAGAGTCCCAGCAGGAGTCCAGTCCCTGTGCTCCTCAGAGTCCCAGCAGGAGTCCAGTCCCTGTGCTCCTCAGAGTCCCAGCAGGAGGCCAGTCCCTGTGCTCCTCAGAGTCCCAGCAGGAGGCCAGTCCCTGTGCTCCTCAGAGTCCCAGCAGGAGGCCAGTCCCTGTGCTCCTCAGAGTCCCAGCAGGAGGCCAGTCCCTGTGCTCCTCAGAGTCCCAGCAGGAGTCCAGTCCCTGTGCTCCTCAGAGTCCCAGCAGGAGGCCAGTCCCTGTGCTCCTCAGAGTCCCAGCAGGAGTCCAGTCCCTGTGCTCCTCAGAGTCCCAGCAGGAGGCCAGTCCCTGTGCTCCTCAGAGTCCCAGCAGGAGGCCAGTCCCTGTGCTCCTCAGAGTCCCAGCAGGAGTCCAGTCCCTGTGCTCCTCAGAGTCCCAGCAGGAGGCCAGTCCCTGTGCTCCTCAGAGTCCCAGCAGGAGGCCAGTCCCTGTGCTCCTCAGAGTCCCAGCAGGAGTCCAGTCCCTGTGCTCCTCAGAGTCCCAGCAGGAGGCCAGTCCCTGTGCTCCTCAGAGTCCCAGCAGGAGGCCAGTCCCTGTGCTCCTCAGAGTCCCAGCAGGAGGCCAGTCCCTGTGCTCCTCAGAGTCCCAGCAGGAGGCCAGTCCCTGTGCTCCTCAGAGTCCCAGCAGGAGTCCAGTCCCTGTGCTCCTCAGAGTCCCAGCAGGAGGCCAGTCCCTGTGCTCCTCAGAGTCCCAGCAGGAGGCCAGTCCCTGTGCTCCTCAGAGTCACAGCAGGAGGCCCCTGTGCTCCTCAGAGTTGTTTCATTTGGCACTAGCATGTCACAGATGGACTTTGGTACAAGGCCATTAAGAGACTTGTAACTCTTGTAACCAGGACTAATGTGAAAGGACTTCAGGACAGAGACCTGAGACCAGGACTAATGTGAAAGGACTTCAGGACAGAGACCTGAGACCAGGACTAATGTGAGAGGACTTCAGGACAGAGACCTGAGACCAGGACTAATGTGAGAGGACTTCAGGACAGAGACCTGAGACCAGGACTAATGTGAGAGGACTTCAGGACAGAGACCTGAGACCAGGACTAATGTGAGAGGACTTCAGGACAGAGACCTGAGACCAGGACTAATGTGAGAGGACTTCAGGACAGAGACCTGAGACCAGGACTAATGTGAGAGGACTTCAGGACAGAGACCTGAGACCAGGACTAATGTGAGAGGACTTCAGGACAGAGACCTGAGACCAGGACTAATGTGAGAGGACTTCAGGACAGAGACCTGAGACCAGGACTAATGTGAGAGGACTTCAGGACAGAGACCTGAGACCAGGACTAATGTGAGAGGACTTCAGGACAGAGACCTGAGACCAGGACTAATGTGAGAGGACTTCAGGACAGAGACTTGAGACCAGGACTAATGTGAGAGGACTTCAGGACAGAGACCTGAGACCAGGACTAATGTGAGAGGACTTCAGGACAGAGACCTGAGACCAGGACTAATGTGAGAGGACTTCAGGACAGAGACCTGAGACCAGGACTAATGTGAGAGGACTTCAGGACAGAGACCTGAGACCAGGACTAATGTGAGAGGACTTCAGGACAGAGACTTGAGACCAGGACTAATGTGAGAGGACTTCAGGACAGAGACCTGAGACCAGGACTAATGTGAGAGGACTTCAGGACAGAGACTTGAGACCAGGACTAATGTGATGGTACTTCCTGGTCTGACCCTCAGGACCTGCAGTGCACTACAACCCTGAGTACTTTGATCGGAGAGGCCCTGGATCTGCAGCAGGTGGTCACTGAGGTCACACATGAATGGATGGACCTCAGTCATGATGAGTCTGATGGACCTCAGTCATGATGAGTCTGATGGGCCTCAGTCATGATGAGTCTGATGGACCTCAGTCATGATGAGTCTGATGGGCCTCAGTCATGATGAGTCTGATGGACCTCAGTCATGATTAGTCTGATGGACCTCAGTCATGATGAGTCTGATGGACCTCAGTCATGATGAGTCTGATGGGCCTCAGTCATGATGAGTCTGATGGACCTCAGTCATGATGAGTCTGATGGGCCTCAGTCATGATGAGTCTGATGGACCTCAGTCATGATTAGTCTGATGGACCTCAGTCATGATTAGTCTGATGGAGCTCAGTCATGATGAGTCTGATGGACCTCAGTCATGATGAGTCTGATGGACCTCAGTCATGATGAGTCTGATGGACCTCAGTCATGATGAGTCTGATGGGCCTCAGTCATGATGAGTCTGATGGGCCTCAGTCATGATGAGTCTGATGGGCCTCAGTCATGATGAGTCTGATGGACCTCAGTCATGATGAGTCTGATGGGCCTCAGTCATGATGAGTCTGATGGGCCTCAGTGATGAGTCTGATGGACCTCAGTCATGATGAGTCTGATGGACCTCAGTCATGATGAGTCTGATGGGCCTCAGTCATGATGAGTCTGATGGGCCTCAGTGATGAGTCTGATGGGCCTCAGTCATGATGAGTCTGATGGACCTCAGTCATGATGAGTCTGATGGGCCTCAGTCATGATGAGTCTGATGGACCTCAGTCATGATGAGGCCCATCAGACTCAGTGTATGAACTAACAAACAAACCGACCGCAGAGTTATTGTTTAAACTCACTGCTGTTCTGTGGCTGAGGAATGTTCTCTCACATCTCTGAGTTTCTCTCACATCTCTGAGTTTCTCTCACATCTCTGAGTTTCTCTCACATCTCTGAGTTTCTCTCACATCTCTGAGTTTCTCTCACATCTCAGAGTTTCTCTCACATCTCTGAGTTTCTCTCACATCTCAGAGTTTCTCTCACATCTCAGAGTTTCTCTCACATCTCAGAGTTTCTCTCACATCTCAGAGTTTCTCTCACATCTCTGAGTTTCTCTCATATCTCTGAGTTTCTCTCACATCTCAGAGTTTCTCTCACATCTCAGAGTTTCTCTCACATCTCAGAGTTTCTCTCACATCTCAGAGTTTCTCTCATATCTCTGAGTTTCTCTCACATCTCAGAGTTTCTCTCACATCTCTGAGTTTCTCTCACATCTCAGAGTTTCTCTCACATCTCAGAGTTTCTCTCACATCTCAGAGTTTCTCTCACATCTCTGAGTTTCTCTCACATCTCTGAGTTTCTCTCACATCTCTGAGTTTCTCTCACATCTCTGAGTTTCTCTCATATCTCGGAGTTTCTGAATGTACTTTATAAAAAGTATATCTGTATTTTCTGTTTTCTTCATGAACGTGTTGCTGAATTAACTGCACTGATGCCTCATTCCTCAAATCTCCGTTTGTTTGTCCATAACTGAAACCTGGTGTCACCTGGTGTCACCTGTTGTCACCTGGTGTCACTTCCTCATTCCAGACATCCGCATGAAATCCCGAGGAGCTAAATTAGCCAAGAGCCAATCCACTGAGAGAATAGTCCATCACCACGGCAGCCACACAGGTACCACCTCTATCACAGGTACCACCTCCATCTCATCTACCACCTGTACCACAGGTACCACCTCTATCACAGGTACCACCTCCATCTCATCTACCACCTGTACCACAGGTACCACCTCTATCACAGGTACCACCTCCATCTCATCTACCACCTGTACCACAGGTACCACCTCTATCACAGGTACCACCTCCATCTCATCTACCACCTGTACCACAGGTACCACCTCTATCACAGGTACCACCTCCATCTCATCTACCACCTGTACCACAGGTACCACCTGTATCACAGGTACCACAGCTGCAGGAACCACAGCTCATGGAAAAGACTTGAAAGTGCACTTTTTTGGGTTAAGCGTCTTAGAACATGTGACATCACTCAGAACATGTGACATCACTCAGAGCGTGGTAGAACTTGTGACATCACTCAGAGCATGTGACATCACCCAGAGCGTGTTAGAACATGTGACATCACCCAGAGCGTGTTAGAACATGTGACATCACCCAGAGCGTGTTAGAACATGTGACATCACTCAGCTGTTTGAGCAGGAGCCAAATGTACACTGCAAAAAATTCACTCAAAAATTGCTAAAATTTGTCCAAATGTCTCTTAATCTGAGCACATTCTGACTTAATGGAAGTGTCTCCTTTGGATCGAGGAAATAAACCAAATGTCTTTGAGTCGATGGAGAATCTGGTTTTTACACTATAAAGATAAAAACACCTGATTCTAGCTTTTATCGCCTCACATTTGGTGGTTTGGTCTGGTATATGAATAAGATTACTTACATATTTGACCAGTTTTTACAGTGTATGAACATTTCGTTATGAAGAGCCAATCAGGAGAGTGCTACGGCAGAAGGCTCCTGATTGGTCAGTTGTTCAGGGTCATATTTGGATTTACAAACGAGTCTCAAAATAAAGACCATATTAAAATAAAAACAACAGGATCATGGACATAACTAAACCGTTGTTACTCTTCCACAATAACATTAATTCCAGGGCTGCCTTACACCACAATGTTTGTTATTGGTGGACATAGCACTTGGTTATATATAAGTACTCACACACACACACACACACACACACACACACACACTCACACACACACACACACACGCTCACACTCACACTCACACACACACACACACACACGCTCACACTCACACACACACACACACACACGCTCACACTCACACACTCACACACGCTCACACTCACACACTCACACACTCACACACACACACGCTCACACTCACACACACACACGCTCACACTCACACACACACACACACACGCTCACACTCACACGCTCACACTCACTCACACACACACACACACACTCACAAACACACACTCACGCTCACACTCACACACACACACACACACACGCTCACACTCACACACACACACACACACACTCACACTCAGATTATGTGTTTCAGGATCGTCCAATCACAGCCCGAGCAGCTCCTCGGAGGAACTGAGCCGCGGCGTCGCGGTGGAGAAACTGGACAGTGTCAAGAAATGGGGAATAAACACCTACAAGGTTCGTTTCATCAGAACTCACTGTGGACGCTTATTTATCAGAGGAGGGTAGAGTAGGGTAAAGTAGAGTACAGTAGAGTAGGGTAGGGTAGAGTACAGTAGAGTAGAGTAGGGTAGAGTAGGGTAGGGTAGAGTAGAGTAGAGTACAATAGAGTAGGGTAGAGTAGAGTAGAGTAGAGTACAATAGAGTAGGGTGGGGTAGAGTAGAGTACAATAAAGTAAGGTAGAGTAGAGTAGGGTAAAGTAGGGTAGAGTAGAGTAGGGTAGAGTAAGGTAGAGTAGGGTAGAGTAGGGTAGGGTAAAGTAGGGTAGAGGAGAGTAGGGTAGGGTAAAGTAGGGTAGAGTAGGGTAGGGTAAATTAGGGTAGAGTAGGGTAGAGGAGAGTAGGGTAAAGTAGGGTAGAGTAGGGTAGAGTAGAGTAGAGTAGGGTAGAGTAGAGTACAATAGAGTAGGGTAGGGTAGAGTACAGTAGAGTAGGGTAGGGTAGAGTAGGGTAGGGTAGAGTAGAGTAGAGTACAATAGAGTAGGGTAGACTAGAGTAGAGTAGAGTAGAGTACAATAGAGTAGGGTAGGGTAGAGTAGAGTACAATAAAGTAGGGTAGAGTAGAGGAGAGTAGGGTAGAGTAAAGTAGGGTAGAGTAGAGTAGGGTAAAGTAGGGTAGAGTAGAGTAGGGTAGAGTAAGGTAGAGTAGGGTAGAGTAGGGTAGGGTAAAGTAGGGTAGAGGAGAGTAGGGTAGGGTAAAGTAGGGTAGAGTAGGGTAGGGTAAATTAGGGTAGAGTAGAGTAGGGTAGAGTAGAGTACAATAGAGTAGGGTAGAGTACAATAGAGTAGGGTAGAGTAGAGTAGAGTAGGGTAGGGTAGAGTACAGTAGAGTAGGGTACAATAGAGTAGGGTAGGGTAGAGTAGAGTACAATAGAGTAGAGTAGAGTAGAGTACAATAGAGTAGGGTAGGGTAGAGTAGAGTACAATAGAGTAGGGTAGAGTAGACAAGAGGAGAGTAGGGTAGAGTAAAGTAGGGTAGAGTAGAGTAGGGTAGGGTAGGGTAAAGTAGGGTAGAGTAGAGTAGGGTAGAGTAAGGTAGAGTAGGGTAGAGTAGGGTAGGGTAGAGTAGAGTAGGGTAGGGTAAAGTAGGGTAGAGTAGAGTAGAGTAAGGTAGAGTAGGGTAGGGTAAAGTAGGGTAGAGGAGAGTAGGGTAGGGTAAAGTAGGGTAGAGTAGGGTAGGGTAAATTAGGGTAGAGTAGGGTAGAGGAGAGTAGGGTAAAGTAGGGTAGAGTAGAGTAGGGTAGAGTAGAGTAGGGTAGAGTAGAGTACAATAGAGTAGGGTAGAGTACAATAGAGTAGGGTAGGGTAGAGTAGAGTAGAGTAGGGTAGGGTAGAGTACAGTAGAGTAGGGTACAATAGAGTAGGGTAGGGTAGAGTAGAGTACAATAGAGTAGAGTAGAGTAGAGTACAATAGAGTAGGGTAGGGTAGAGTAGAGTACAATAGAGTAGGGTAGAGTAGACAAGAGGAGAGTAGGGTAGAGTAAAGTAGGGTAGAGTAGAGTAGGGTAGGGTAGGGTAAAGTAGGGTAGAGTAGAGTAGGGTAAAGTAGGGTAGGGTAGGGTAAAGTAGGGTAGAGGAGAGTAGGGTACAGTAGAGGAGAGTAGGGTAGAGTAAAGTAGGGTAGAGTAGAGTAGGGTAGGGTAAAGAAGGGTAGAGTAGAGTAGGGTAGAGTAGAGTTGGGTAGAGTAGGGTAGAGTAGGGCAGGGTAAAGTAGGGTAGAGGAGAGTAGGGTGGGGTAAAGTAGGGTAGAGTAGGGTAGGGTAAATTAGGGTAGAGTAGGGTAGAGTAGGGCAGGGTAAAGTAGGGTAGAGGAGAGTAGGGTGGGGTAAAGTAGGGTAGGGTAAATTAGGGTAGAGTAGGGTAGGGTAAAGTAGGGTAGAGTAGAGTAGGGTAGAGTAGGGAAGGGTAAAGTAGGGTAGAGGAGAGTAGGGTAGGGTAAAGTAGGGTAGAGTAGGGTAGAGTAGAGTAGGGTAGACTACAGTAGGGTAGAGTAGAGTAGGATAGAGAAAAGTAGAGTATTTATTTATTTAGAAGATAGAAGCCCCTTGAGATGAATCATCTCGTTTTCGAGGGAGCCTCAAGATTTCACAAGGACAGATACAGCAAAACAAATGCAAACAAAACCAAAATACAAGAAAATCATTAAAAAACAAAAATAAAAAAGCAACCATAAAACACACACATAAACCCTCAATCACACACACACACACACACACACACTGTAATTACACTAAATAAGGATAATACTATTAATATTAATAGTAATAATAATTGGGAGACAGCAAAGACAAGATTATGTCTCATAACCTAAGATCAAAAACATTGAACTATGGTAGAGTAGAGTGGACTGTACTAGAGACTGTACTCTACCCTAAGAGTACAGTAGAGTAGAGTAGTGTAGGGTAGGGTAGGGTACAGTAGGGTAGGGTAGAGTAGAGTACAGTAGGGGAGAAAAGAGTACAGTAGGGTAGGGTAGAGTGAACATCTCTAGTGAACACATGTAGTGAACACTTTACTGAACATATGTAGTGAACACATGTAGTGAACACTTTAGTGAACACATGTAGTGAACACTTTAGTGAACACATGTAGTGAACACTTCAGTGAACACATGTAGTGAACACATGTAGTGAACACCTGTAGTGAACACATGTAGTGAACACTTTAGTGAACACATGTAGTGAACACCTGTAGTGAACACTTTACTGAACATATGTAGTGAACACATGTAGTGAACACTTTAGTGAACACATGTAGTGAACACTTTAGTGAACACATGTAGTGAACACCTGTAGTGAACACTTTAGTGAACACATTTAGTGAATACTTTAGTGAACACATGTAGTGAACACTTTACTGAACATATGTAGTGAACACATGTAGTGAACACTTTAGTGAACACATGTAGTGAACACCTGTAGTGAACACTTTACTGAACACATGTAGTGAACACTTTAGTGAACACATGTAGTGAACACTTTAGTGAACACATGTAGTGAACACATGTAGTGAACACTTTAGTGAACACATGTAGTGAACACCTGTAGTGAACACATGTAGTGAACACTTTAGTGAACACATGTAGTGAACACATGTAGTGAACACTTTAGTGAACACATGTAGTGAACACCTGTAGTGAACACATGTAGTGAACACTTTAGTGAACACATGTAGTGAACACTTTAGTGAACACATGTAGTGAACACCTGTAGTGAACACATGTAGTGAACACTTTAGTGAACACCTGTAGTGAACACATGTCTTCAGGTCTTCAGAGTGAGTATGTCCTTGCAGTGCACTAAGCAGATGTTCTCGGAGCGCTTTGGTCGCGGCTCTCGGACTGTAGACCTGGAGCTGGAGGCTCAGATTGAACACCTGCGAGACACGAAGCTGAAGTACGAGAGCGTCCTGAGACTGACCTCTGACCTCACCACACACTTCAGCTTCATGGTCCAGACACAGCAGGCCCTGGGGGACACCTTCACTGACCTCAGCCAGAAGTCTCCTGAGCTGCAGGTACTGACCTCTGACCTCACACACACACACACACACAGATGGATTTTAACACCAGAGTTATGTGCTGCCTCCTTTTGGTACCTGTTAAGATCCTAGCTGCTGTATTTTGAACGAATTGGAAGCTCTTCAAAGAGGTTTTAGGGCACGCTGCCAGCAGGGGGCGGTAAAGTAGTCAAGCCTTGAAAAGCGTGGATACGTTTTTCCGCATCACTTTTAGGATATTCCTGATTTTAGCGATGTTCCGTAAGTGGAAGTACGCCGTTTTAGTCGCTTGGCTTATATAAGCCTTGAAGGATAGTTCTTGGTCAAAAATGACTCCAAGATTCCTCACAGTGTTACTGGGTATAATACTGACATTATCAGAGTAATTATCTGGTTAGTGAGGGAGTCACGCAGGCGCTTCGGACCGAGTAGGATCACTTCTGTCTTCTCCGGGTTGAGAAGTAGGAAGTTAAGAGTCATCCACATTTTAAGGTCCTTTATGCAGGCACTGAGCTTTTCTAGCTGATCTGTCTGATTTGGCTTCATCGACAGATAAAGCTGTGTGTCATCTGCAGCAGTGTATGGAAGCCCGTTTCCGCCTTATATTAAAAAAAAGCCTACAGAAAGTCATAATTATGAGTTTAAAACTCAAAATGATGAGTTTTAAACTGCGCATGTGCAGTTGCTGCCCCGTATGTGTTGTTGTGTGGAACGGTGTCTGGACATCCTTTACCTGCAGGTTATGTTGAAGATATTGCCTACAGAGAGTGACCACTGCATCCATGAAGTAGCAGCAATAATGTTGTGGCACAATATTAAACCTTTTGGAAATGCGATCAGTGCATTAAGGAGTATGTGACGTGAGTATGTGACGTGAGTATGTGACGTGAGTATGTGACGTGAGTGTGTGACGTGAGTGTGTGACGTGAGTGTGTGACGTGAGTATGTGACGTGAGTGTGTGACGTGAGTATGTGACGTGAGTATGTGACGTGAGTGTGTGACGTGAGTATGTGACGTGAGTATGTGACGTGAGTGTGTGACGTGAGTGTGTGACGTGAGTATGTGACGTGAGTATGTGACGTGAGTGTGTGACGTGAGTGTGTGACGTGAGTATGTGACGTGAGTATGTGACGTGAGTGTGTGACGTGAGTGTGTGACGTGAGTATGTGACGTGAGTATGTGACGTGAGTATGTGACGTGAGTGTGACGTGAGTGTGTGACGTGAGTATGTGACGTGAGTGTGTGACGTGAGTGTGTGACGTGAGTGTGTGACGTGAGTATGTGACGTGAGTGTGTGACGTGAGTGTGTGTGACGTGAGTGTGTGACGTGAGTATGTGACGTGAGTATGTGACGTGAGTGTGTGACGTGAGTGTGTGACGTGAGTGTGTGACGTGAGTGTGTGTGACGTGAGTGTGTGACGTGAGTGTGTGACGTGAGTGTGTGACGTGAGTGTGTGACGTGAGTGTGTGACGTGAGTGTGTGACGTGAGTATGTGACGTGAGTATGTGACGTGAGTGTGTGACGTGAGTGTGTGACGTGAGTGTGTGACGTGAGTGTGTGACGTGAGTGTGTGACGTGACGTGTGTGACGTGAGGGTGTGTGACGTGAGTGTGTGACGTGAGTGTGTGACGTGAGTGTGTGACGTGAGTGTGTGACGTGAGTGTGTGACGTGAGTGTGTGACGTGAGTGTGTGACGTGAGTGTGTGACGTGAGTGTGTGACGTGAGTGTGTGACGTGAGTGTGTGACGTGAGTGTGTGACGTGAGTGTGTGACGTGAGTGTGTGACGTGAGTGTGTGACGTGAGTGTGTGACGTGAGTGTGTGTACGTGAGTGTGTGACGTGAGTGTGTGACGTGAGTGTGTGACGTGAGTGTGTGACGTGAGTGTGTGACGTGAGTGTGTGACGTGAGTGTGTGACGTGAGTGTGTGACGTGAGTGTGTGACGTGAGTGTGTGACGTGAGTGTGTGACGTGAGTGTGTGACGTGAGTGTGTGACGTGAGTGTGTGACGTGAGTGTGTGACGTGAGTTGTGACGTGAGTATGTGACGTGAGTGTGTGACGTGAGTGTGTGACGTGAGTATGTGACGTGAGTGTGTGACGTGAGTGTGTGACGTGAGTGTGTGACGTGAGTGTGTGACGTGAGTGTGTGACGTGAGTATGTGACGTGAGTATGTGACGTGAGTGTGTGACGTGAGTATGTGACGGAGTATGTGACGTGAGTATGTGACGTGAGTGTGTGACGTGAGTGTGTGACGTGAGTATGTGACGTGAGTGTGTGACGTGAGTGTGTGACGTGAGTATGTGTGACGTGAGTGTGTGACGTGAGTATGTGTACGTGAGTGTGTGACGTGAGTGTGTGACGTGAGTGTGTGACGTGAGTATGTGACGTGAGTGTGTGACGTGAGTGTGTGACGTGAGTGTGTGACGTGAGTGTGTGACGTGAGTGTGTGACGTGAGTGTGTGACGTGAGTGTGTGAGTGTGACGGTATGTGACGTGAGTGTGACGTGAGTGTGACGTGATGTGTGACGTGAGTGAGGAGTGTGTGACGTGAGTGTGTGACGTGAGTGTGTGACGTGAGTATGTGACGTGAGTGTGACGTGAGTGTGTGACGTGAGTGTGTGACGTGAGTGGTACGTGAGTGTGATGGTAGTGACGTGAGTTGTGACGTGAGTATGTGACGTGAGTGTGTGACGTGAGTGTGTGACGTGAGTTGTGACGTGAGTGTGACGTGAGTGTGTGACGTGAGTGTGTGACGTGAGTGTGACGTGAGTGTGTGACGTGAGTGTGTGTGAGTTGTGACGTGAGTGTGACGTGAGTTGTGACGTGAGTGTGTGACGTGAGTGAGTGAGTGTGACGTGAGTGTGTGACGTGGAGTGTGAGTGTACGTGTGTGACGTAGTGTGTGACGTGAGTGTGTGAGTGAGTGTGTGAGTGAGTGTGTGACGTGAGTGAGTGTGTGACGTGAGTGTGTGTGACGTGAGTGTGTGACGTGAGTGTGTGACGTGAGTGTGTGACGTGAGTTGTGACTGAGTGTGACGTGAGTTGTGACGTGAGTGTGTGTACGTGAGTGTGTGACGTGAGTGTGTGACGTGAGTGTGTGACGTGTGTGTGTGACGTGAGTATGTGACGTGAGTGTGTGACGTGAGTGTGTGAAGTGAGTATGTGACGTGAGTGTGTGACGTGAGTATGTGACGTGAGTGTGTGTGACGTGAGTGAGTGTGACGTGAGTGACGGGTGTGTGACGTGAGTTGTGACGTGAGTGATGTGACGTGAGTAGTGTGATAGGTGATGTGAGTGTGACGTGATGTGTGACGTGAGTGTGTGACGTGAGTGTGTGACGTGAGACGTGAGTGTGACGTGAGTGACGTGAGTTGTGACGTGAGTGTGTTGTGACGTGAGTGTGTGACGTGAGTGTGTGACGTGAGTGTGTGACGTGAGTATGTGACGTGAGTGTGTGACGTGAGTGTGTGACGTGAGTATGTGACGTGAGTGTGTGACGTGAGTGTGTGACGTGAGTATGTGACGTGAGTGTGTGACGTGAGTGTGTGACGTGAGTATGTGACGTGAGTGTGTGACGTGAGTGTGTGACGTGAGTGTGTGACGTGAGTGTGTGACGTGAGTGTGTGACGTGAGTGTGTGACGTGAGTATGTGACGTGAGTGTGTGACGTGAGTATGTGACGTGAGTG